TTGGTTTTCAAAGACTTTCTTCTTTTCTTTTCTTTTTTTGCATTCCCACTTGAACCAACGATAAGGTGAGTGGGTATCCAATTTTTCATTTTTTTTCCAGACTCTTTAAAAATTGAAAGCATAGGGAAACTTCTTGGACTCATTTTCATGTGGATGAGGAGCCAACCAGGATATATGTTATGCGTCTCATATTGAGTGGGTTCCGGTCTTGGCTGCCACACTTCAACTGCTAGCTTTTGGGTATGGTTCTTCTAAGTATTTGTACTCATTATAATATTTTTATGAATTTCACAATGAGTGGGCTTTTAGCATTGGGTTTCTCAACTCTAATAGTTAGATTTTGGGATGTTATTTTTCTTAGGATTGGTACTCATTGCAATAGTGCTTTCATTAAGAGCTGATCAACTTAAAAAGGCTACCTACAGAGGGATTGATTAGTAGGAAGCTATGTGAAGCACCATGATATAGTGTCCTCATGATGTCGGCCCTGAGGGAGTGCACTATTATGACTCTCACATTGGGTGAATTTTTACCCTCGTGTTTCTCAATTCCAACCGCTTAGTTTTAGGATACGATTCTTCCAAGTAGTTGTGCTGGTTACAATATATACAAGTGTGTTCATAATGCGATGAAGATGAACAAAAAGATAAGAGGCATAGTTGAAGATGAGAATTGAGTCTGTGAGATTTGGAGAGTCATAGGTGGACTCCTCAGCGGATTTTGAGACGAAGACTAGCAAACGTTGGTCCTTGTCGAGCATAACATATTCAAAGAAGTGACATAGCCAAACAACTCACACAACAAGTCCACCGTACAAATCCTCTTACTAGTAAACCTCTGATTATCCTCAAAAGGTAAATTCTTATCATTTGCCTCTTTTTTTTTTTGTGGTTTTCTAAATCAATGTGTTCGTAACATATTGAAATGGAAGGGCCCCACATAGGCCTTGAGATAGTAGATTCTTAACTACCCAAATTTATTCACAAAGACCAACCAATTACTACATTTTATACAGGTTTAAAGGTAGCAAAGGAAAGGTGAAGGAGAAGAGCCAATGCAAAAGCTGGCTTCTGCAAAATAATGAAGTGAGAATAGAAGAACAGAGCAAAACCAGATGAACATAATGGAGAAACACACAGAATTATGATCTGTTGCTTGAAAGAAGAAACATGGGATCTAGAAGGTGAAGAGAAGCAGCAACATGAAGGAGCACAGGATTACTTTGATGTGTTGCAGAAAGAAACAAGGAAAGAAATAGAATATTCCCACAAAAAAACTGGCTGCATCTTTATGGATATGAACTTTAACGTTCAAAATTATTCTTTTCCCTTTGCCTTTGAATTGTTCGTCTTCTACCACAACTTGTGTACTCCTTCCACATTATTCTCATTATCATGATGAAATATTTATTAATACCTTTGCTTATGAATTGCTTTTAAAAAATTAAAAATATAACTCACAAAACTACATATGCGTGTATATTATTTGGTATGCCCTCCCTTGATGTGTCATTATCAAATGGGTTGTAATTCTTTATGAAAACTTATTATCAAATTGAAAGTACTATTCAGTACTAAAAATATAAAAACACTCCTTATCAAATTGCATCATATACTGTCGCCATCGCCTTTAATTTGATTGGACATCAAAATTAGTACAATTATGGTTGCATGTTAATTAGTTAATAACGTATATAACGACAAAATTTTTAATAAATAACATTTATTTTAATTTCTGGAGCAAAATAGAGTCCAAGTGTTTGGAGTTTATCGTAATAATTACCAAAAATTACTATAACAAATAAGCAGTATAAAATGACAATTTTTAGTGTAGAGATGACAACAAATTTATTCTACTCTTACCGTGAGATATTTTAATTTTTAGTGATTTTTTTTTCTTATTTTAACTGCACAAATATATATATTGTTATGAAATTATGAATTTCAGGCAAACCTCTTTTTTTTTGGTAAAACGTCAATTTCAGGCAACTTGAGATTCTGTTCTAAGGTCAAGTTTTGAGACTCTTAAGACATGTTTGTCGAAGTTGAATTCCAAATAGAGAATTTAGGAAGAGGAATTTCCATCATAGGAAATTAGAAGTTTCTTAATGAAATTAGGAATTTAGATCAAAATTAAGGGATAAATTAGGAACTCCATTATGAGTTTAATGGCTAATAAGATCAGATGTTGATATTCTAATTTGTCAAGGAAGGAAATTTCGCCTTCCTTAATACCGCTTAATTACAAACTCGCAAAATCACATGATATAAAGGCCCAATTAAATCAAATCACAAAATATCAAACTATATTTTGTTCTCAAAATATTTGAGGACTCTTATCTTTGTTCTTAATTAATGAAAATATTTTAAGAGTCTTTTTAAACAAGGGCTGAAGCATTCTTAACAAGGATGCTAGCTCCTCTCAAATGCCAACAAAAGCCCAACAAGGATTCTTGGCTTAAAAAGCCAGCTGAACAAGAAAAGAAATAAAATAAAATAAAATAAAAATGTTTGTCACGTGAAAGCAAGTGGATGGGACAAAAACGCCTAATATAGGACAAGTATGCATTTTTTATTTATTATCTATCTAGCTTGCATATATACAAATATATATATGTAGGTGTGTGTGTGTGTGTTAATTAACAAGTATGTCGCGGCATTTGAGAAGGACCACTCTTTTCTGAACAAAACTATTTACAATCCCTTCCACAGGGAGGGACCATTCATTCCCTTTATTCTGATATGACGTTTGTGTTCGTTTTTAAATATATAGAGTCCAATGTAGTAGTAGTAAGGCTGTTATTGTTTTAAAGTTCTATTCAAAAGTATCTAAATAGAAATGGGAAAATTAAGCTGTGGATCCTTATAGTTTCACTGGTCCTCATAGCTTTTTTTTCTATTTTATCCCCTTCTTATTATTTCCTCAGTTATCAATCTTGGTCCTTCTGTTATGCATGCCGTTAGTTTAGATTGATTAGGGGCTGACATTGGCACTGAATAATGTCTGACTAAGCATATCATCTTCCTCACAATTACCTCCTCCTCTGTCGGATTCTCTCTCTCCCCCTCCTCCGCACAATTTCCTTCAAAGTAACATCGTTACCTGTCTCTTTCTCCAGCACCATCATCTTTAATTATCTCCTCTTGCAGAAGCCTCATTTTGTGTTTCAGATTCATCGCTTTCTTCTTGCGACTGTAATTGTATCCTCCTCCTCCCCCATTCTTGCCATCTCCCTTGGCGATCGATCTCTCTGCAGTAACAGAACTCGAGTCGACTGACAGTAAGTAGCCAGCTTTGCTTAGATCGTGGTGCTCAGCTGCTAGTTGTCGTGACTCGGTTTCGGCTCTTGCGGCAACGTGGAGATTCCACAATCGTTCCATCTTCGAATCTAATGACCGGTGTCATGGGGTCGAGGAATGAGAGGTGCCTACTCTGAGATATATTAACACTTGAGTAGATTGGTCTTGGTAAAATGGATAGAACGTGGTGGGACCTAGTGGAAGCAGCAAGAACTTTCAACTCTACCAATAATTCTTTCTCTTTTGTGAAAAAACAAATGAAGATGTTGACGAAGAAGAATCTGAAACATGGAGAGGAGGAGATGAAGCCATAGAAGTTCTTTCCAGTTCTTTCATTGTATCTGTGTAAATTGGTGCCTCCCATGATAATGTTTCTGACAATTTAAACAATGATGATACCAATCAAACTCCTAGAACAAGTTCCAACTTTGCGTTCTTCTCTGATCCAGCAAATGTCGTCATTCTCCTAACACAATGACCACCACTAAAGAAAATATTAGCTTAGCAAGAATGAATGGGTTCTAATAGCTTGGGGGTAGTAACGTCATTCTGCAGCACGTGCTTTGTCGAGGAGGGAGAGAGAGAATTTGACGAAAGAGGAGGTGCTCTATGGATGAGGGAGAGGGAGAATCTGAGGAAAGAGGAGGTGCCTATGAGGAAGATGGTGTGCTTAGTGAGGCATTATTTAGTGCCATGTCAGCCCCTAATCAACCTAAACTAACGGCATTTATAACAGAAGGACTAGGATTGATAACCGAGGAAACAATAAGAATGAGATAAAATAGAAAAAAACTGTAAGGACCTAATTCAAAATTCAATGGAACTATAAAGACCCACAAATTCATTTTCCCAATAGAAATCAAAACATAGTTTTACAAATAATTTTATGATTAAGTAAATAAGAAAAATTTTATGTTGATTTGTGTGAAATTATTTAAAAAAAATGCATTTTAGGTAAACCATCAATCAAATACGTCTAGCCTTACGACTGTGATCCCTTTTCTGTATGTTTCAGAAAGGAAGGAATTTAAGCAAAGAAAATTAGAAGCAAATAGTTGGAAAATGTGAATATGTTCATCACTCCATCTTCGCATCAATCTTCTACTATAATATTAACACTCCAATTTGTTCAGGCCGAAGGAATATTGAGACCCAAGTAACTGAAACATGTGAATTTCTAGAGACATCAAATCAATCATTCATTAAGCTTTGATTATGCATTGGGTAGCCACCTCATATCATCCAATTATTGTCACTCTCTCTTCAATCATTAAACTTCAATTTACGAGAATTAAGAAAACTTATCTATCTGTCGAGATCTGAAACTAATACACCAAAGCCAGGATAAAGCTTCACATTCACGTTTAATCTATTTGACTTTTGGTATCATTTACCTTACATACCAAGTTTTTTCCCCCGTCTGAATTACCTCCTGCTTAAACTTACTGGTAAAAAATTGTCCACCTACGTCCAAATGGGAAGAAACTTCTTCAAACACGACAATTACACTAATGGTTACTGTGGCCAGAATTTTGGGAAGGCGGCTGATTCAAACCACAAAAAGATTGAGTCTTTCTGAGCCCTGCCCTTTGCCTTTTGGGAATCTGTAGGCGATGAAGGTGACCCCGTAATAGCAATCCCCAATGAGGTTTCTGGGTCCCATCCTTTCTGCATTTATTTAGAACTAGTCTCTCTACTCTAACTGTAGTGGTGGGTCATTTCACAGTCCCACAAACACTCTTTCACGCGCTCCCACAAGTTCTCATCTGTCACTCGCAGTCGCTGATATCGCTGCCCTCTGGTCTCCCTCAACCCTTGCAGTTGCAGTTGCAGTTGCAGCACCGTCTTCTGTTTCTTTGAGCGTTGTTGATTCATGGGGTTTCCGTATATGGTCTAATATAAGCTTTCTTGTGCTTCGCCTTGGAGTAATTTCTTCTTGTGCTCAAGTTCAAAACTCAACTATGCTTCGTGGGATTGCCTTTTCCTTGTTTGGGCTTTTGGCCATCTTGGGAGTACAGCTTCCTGCAACAAGGGCTGGTTAGTTCATTTAATAGTTCTTTCCTTTCTTAGTTGTGTTTATCATCATCCTCTTGACTTGCGCTTTTTCTGTGAGCGAGTTAAGAAGAGAAAGAAATGCTTTGGCTTGTTGGTTCCCATTGATTCTGTTTTCACTTTAGGAGAAAAAATATGGCTGCTTTTCGTTGACCCATCTTAGGGAAGAGATGGTGAAGCTGGGAACGGATCGCATTGTTTATGTGAGCCTTCTTTTATATGATATTAGTCCCACATTTGCTCCTCCGCGATAATTGTGATTGTTTACCCCTTTGTGCTTATAACCTAATAAATGCCTGGAGTCAGAACTTTCATTCAATTGCGAAGCTTTGCGTTGAGGCAGGAAGAGATGTATCTTAATGAACTTGTGGCCATTATTAGAGTTTTTCCTCCTAATATGGTGGCATAAAATTTAGTATTGCAATAGTTGAAACTTCCGTTCCCCGTAAGTCCTATAACTTGATGTAATCTGATAATTATAAAATCACGGAAGATGGCAGTGCAGGCTATGAATTAAAGGCTGAGACTACTAATCTCATATTGCTGCTGCTTTTGCAGATTGCCCATTGGATTTAAGTACTTCAAACTTTACAATGGCATCCTCCGTCTGCTCAGACCAAGGTGACAGAAATGGCTGTTGTCGCTACATTAATGCTAATATTGCCGTTTCTGTTGCTCGATATGCAAATGGAACAGGCAACCTTGGAGTCCCTCCAGATGCTTCTGACTTCTGCCTCCAGACCATAACTGAGACTTTGCAACTTTATGGAGTTTCACCAAATGCAGCTGTTTTCTGTGGCTTTGGGACAAAAGTCCCGGTTAATTACGAGTGTAAAGGTCGAACTACTGTCACACAGATGCTGCAATCTCCAAGATTTGGAGAGGTCACTAAAAATTGCAAAGTGCCTCTTGTAAAGGAAAGTGATTGCAAGCAATGTTTGAATGCTGCCATTGGTTACCTACATAATGTAATAGGTGTACAGGATAATATCACATTAAGTACATGCCGTGATGCCACTTTTACTGCGTTGGCAAGCCAAGTTGATGATATGTCTACTGTTGAAACTGCGAGCTGTTTCTTTGGGGTTCAAGGACTTCTCGGGCCTACTGGTATGAATGGTAATAACGAGAGACTTGTTATGATGCTTTTTCTTTTTGGCTTCCTGAGTCTCTGAGTGTGTCCTGTGTTCGTGCGAAAGCCTAAACAACATTAGACTTGTTTGTTGGTTTCTTAACTGACGTGAGATGTGAATCCAATAAAATTCGATGATTTGTCTACTTCATTTGTCATAGATTCTTCTCTATGCCATTGCCTCTATGTAATAATGGAATGGTTGCACAAGTTGTGCAAGTCCCTTGCTGTTGGTATACCTAGAATCTTGCTTTAGCAAGATATGGGAACGATATTCTTGTGTTGTTCCAGAATTAAATTATGCTTGGAAAATACTAGAAAAGCTGGTTTCATCCAATAATGTATTACACGGCTCTTATTTTTCATTTCCAGTTGAGTAGTCTTATGCCATGCATATTGGAGTTTTTTTTTTGTGATTAACACAGTAAAACTTGACTAATCATATCATTGCATCTTTGATGCTAGTTTCAGAGCCATCCACTTCACCAACTCCTGAGGCTTCTCCAAGTCCTCCAGCTGCTGATAGCCCAAGTCCATTGCTGATAGGTGTACCACTTAAAAGAAATCACCATAGATACCACTTGACATTAATCCCAGGTATCGGTATTGCCGTCACAGCTGCTGCGGTTATGATGCTTGTAGTTTTGGTCGTTTTAATTCGTCAAAAAGGCAGAGAGCTAGAGGGACCTGATCATTTAAGTAAAACCTCCTCGAAATCCTTACCCCCTTCTGCCACATGGAGATTTCAGGATGGTATGGTTTTGGCTTTTTTTCTTCTTAATTTCTTTCTTGGAGATAGCATATGCGTGACAGATCATTAATTGTCATTTGTCTTCACCCTTTTTTTTTGGTATGTGTATGACTTGTACAGGTCCTTCGTCTACGTTTCGAAAATTCAACTATAGCGAGATTAAGAGGGCCACAGATAATTTTGGCACTGTGATTGGGCAAGGAGGATTTGGAACTGTGTATAAAGCTGATTTTAGTGATGGTTTAGTGACAGCAGTAAAGCGTATGGATAAATCAGCAGAGCAAAAGGGGGATGAGTTTTGTAGAGAAATAGAGCTTGTTGCCCGGCTTCATCACCGCCATCTAGTTGCATTAAGAGGATTTTGCATTAAAAAACATGAGAGGTACTTGTTTGTGTTTGCATGCATTGTTCCTTTTGATCGTCTGTACCTGTGAACCAAACCCTTTTGCTTTTCTCGTGACAGGTTTCTGATATACGAGTACATGGAAAATGGAAGCTTGAAAGACCATCTTCATTGTACGTTTTACGAGTCTTGGTAGTTGTACACATTTTCAAGTGCTATTACGAGGATATTGTTTGAGTGGGTTGTAAATGAACCCTCTATTTACTTCTCTCATGTGCGTCTTTTGTGTTAGGGTGCTAGTGGGAATATATGTTTGTTTATTTTTCTATATTTCTGGGAATCATGCATTTCTATGTCCGTTACTCCGGCAATAATGAAAATGAAAATGATTAACTTCTCAGCAAAATATTACTTTTGAAGTATCACACAACAGAGATAAATGATGTAGGTAGTTTCCTCCGAAAACCTAAAACGTATTTCATCTAATATATGTATTGAATCGACTCTCATTTTGTGTAGCCCCTGGGAAAACGCCCCTGAGTTGGCGAAATAGAATCCAAATTGCCATTGACGTGGCTAATGCACTGGTAATTTGAGTATGATGCTTTTTCAGTGTTGTTTAGTTTTCTTTTCGTGTAGTATTTTTCTTTTCTCATTTTTCTTTTTTGGTTTCACTTGAAGGACTACCTTCATTTCTATTGCGATCCTCCTCTCTGCCACAGAGACATTAAATCTAGCAACATTTTACTGGATGAGAAATTTGTTGCAAAGGTTCGGTAACTGCCAGAATCAAATTTTCTGCATTCCTGCAATTTGATAGTTAAATGTATGTCATATGAATGTTGCACATAGCTCTAAAGATAAGATGTGTTTATATGTAAATAATGCAAAATCTAAACTGCGTTGCATTGCTTCACAGCTAGCTGATTTCGGACTGGCACACGCTTCAAAATATGGTTCTATATGCTTTGAACCAGTAAATACTGATATCCGGGGAACTCCAGGTGTAAAATCTTTTCCATATTAATCTTTTCTCTGATATTTGTTCCTGTATCTTTTTGGGAACAGGCTAGTCATCGAACAGGATCTTTATGGATATTGCTGAAGTCTAGATTTAAAATGTATTCCAGGTTATATGGATCCAGAATATGTTGTTACTCAAGAACTCACCGAGAAAAGTGATATTTACAGTTTTGGTGTGCTATTATTAGAGATTGTAACTGGAAGACGAGTAATTCAAGATAATAAGAATTTGGTAGAATGGGCACAACCATTCATGGAATCCGAATCAAGATTGATGGAGTTAGTGGATCCCAATGTGAGGGAATCTTTTGATTTGGATCAGCTCCAAACAGTTGTCTCTATAGTAGGATGGTGCACCCAGAGAGAAGGCAGGGCAAGGCCTTCAATAAAACAAGTCCTTAGACTTCTGTATGAGACTTCAGAACCCATGCACAGTGGATTTTTACAAGCTGTTGAAGATGAAGAATATGCAGCAAATCAGCAATCTGGCAGAAGAAGCAAGGGAAAGTTACACAGAAGTGAATCAAATTATCACAGTGGGGATGGAAGATATTTAGCTTCTTCTTCAAGTACATCCAGGTCCTATTGCAGTAGAAGTTTCTTACTTGAGACAGGATCCCCGCAGTCCCCTCAGAATATTTTTTCAGTTTAAATCAATAATTGCCTTCAATCGTCATCAGGCTAACATGTATAGGAAGCAATGCTACCTCAAAATGGAGCTTAACTGTGTCGCACACTAGAATGAAACACCGACCAACTCTTCAAATTGCTCTTCCACTCTACATAGTTTTGTTGTTGTGTTCACATCACATTGGATCTTATATTTTGTGTCAATATTAGCCACTGCATGATGCTTTGAATTTCAAGTGAACACTACATAATTTTGTTGTTTCCTATTGCCTGAATCATATTGTATCTTACATCTAGGTCAATAACTGACCATCTTCTGCTACAACGGAATTTGTTGGGAAGCTCTCGTTGACACCAAATTCAGTGGATTTAATTTGAATGTTGCCAGGTCCAGTAGTGAAGACAGAGGTGGAACGAGATCTTATGCAATACTATTCACATTACAGTTTATAGAATATTTGTACACAGTGAGGATCAAAAGGAATGGATGGAAAGTGCTGAAACATCAATAATTGTATTCATATGTGGCGTGAACAGAACCAAGTTTGATATTAAGATGATACGTATATATAGAATACAAATGACATAAGGCTGCTTTATAGCCATATACCCTGACACGTATAAAATGGTTAATCCGAGACAAAGACTAAGAATAAGCAAATACAAGGAAAAATTCTAATCAGATTCAGATATATGCAGGGCCAGGCGACAGCAAAAAAGCACGAGTCCTGCACATCGTCTTCACAACACTTGTAAATAAAGAGAAAGAAATCCCAGACCGTTGCTAGGAAAATGAAGCTAAGCATAACAATTTAACCATCCACGGCAGCCAGGAACTTCCTCTTGCTTACTGGTTCTTCATGCAATACTACAGCATCACTTACTTTCTCAAACAATTCATCCAATTTGTCCACGCCCAGTCTCTGGTATTCCAGTGGCTTCTTGTATCGTAGCTGGTAAATGTCATCAAAACAATCTATGAATATTGGACAAGAATAAATCACGAGAATCTCTTGCAGCTCATGCTTGAATTGTTCCAGAATTCGGTCATGAATTTCGCTTCTGGCTGCTTTCCCCTGGTGAACCTTTTCTATGCTGCTTCTCTCAACATGTTCTTCTGTGACTATTCTTTCTTCATCTACTGAGCAACCAGCATGGATAACATCTGCATTCTCTTCTTGAATCCCTTTTCCTTTCTTGTCATTGCTCACCTGAGACAGAGGGCACACAGTCCAGTTTTGAAGACGTACAAACATCCGAGGCCCTTTCCCTTCCACAGAAAATGGATCACCCATTTTCTTGAAAAGATTCACTAACTTGCGTACCCCATATTTAGACACAGAGAGAGACCTCCCAAAATATTTCTGATACTCTGGTGCAACTTGAGCCAGAAGCAAACAACCTCCAGAGAGTTCAAGCAACTTTACCAGCTGACACTTCACACCATTCAAATCCCCAGGTTCTACCCACAATGGGCATTCATTTCGGTTGCTAGAAGAAGACATAGAACCTCCTGAAACATTGTTCAGAGTGGATGGAAGGCTATGTGACCTCAAAGCCGTTGGAAAGCATGATGCATTCAATGTATCACTTTTGTCTGAGACAAATGAACAACATTTGGAGTTATGGTAGTTCTGGGAGATCCCTCCATAAACAATAGCTTCTTCTTCATTTTTCCCATCAAAGTTGCCACTGATACGGCACCCAATCAGATCTGGAACAACCTCAGTTGGAACGACATGAGGTGGCACTAGAGCCTTTGAGGGAGGCACAAAACCTTCTCCACGAGCAATGCTAGGCCAGTCCCAGACAAATTTACCTGCACGGCTAAGGGCAGTTGGCACACCCACCCCAGCAGGGATGACAAGAATGATAGTATATCCCCGGTGGCCAAGAACATGAAGTGCAGGAGCAAAATCAACATCTCCAGATATCAGCATTATAGAAGATGGTGGTCGGTTGTCAAGGGCAAACAAGAACATGTCGATCAAGATAGCTTTGTCAGCAGCATTTTTTCTCCCACTGGGAACATCAGTGAGTTTAACACCAGTTCTTTGGCAACCCTCTCTGAGTCGCCTGGGGAAATTATTAAAATCCCCATAAGCAGAAAACATCACAACAGCTCCTTTAATTATTGGATGCACTCGCAAAGTCATTGTTACATTCCCGGCAACATCTTCAGGGCGCACACCACTCGGAACTGGACAATTTTCAATATCCCAAAGTATAGCAACAGGGCCATCCAAGGAACAAGAAGGTTGCTGGCTTAAAGGACATGGAGGCAGGTTAGCATTTGAATTTGAATCAGTTACATATTGTCCATCTGTTCCGATGAGTCCGAAGACCCTGTTGATGTAGATCTATTTGGGGTCTCCATCATCTCACCTCTCAAAAGTCCCTACATTGAATGTTTCAAAGGCATCATTAAACTCAAAATTTCACCATGAATTTCTCCATATATCCTTATGAATATGAAAAGGTGATGCTCCAGCCATAAGCCTTATCATTATACAAGCAAGGAGAAAAGGAAGCAAGAACCAAGAATAAGAAAAAGGAAAAAGAAGAAAAAGAAAGAAAGATATATTTGATGTTCTATCAGAAGCCGGTCAAGAGCCACAGTGCTGCAGACACAAGACTAACAAATAGTCATTGAGATTTGAAAATCACAACATCAGGGGCCTAGAAGGCTGAAGCAGCATTGATTACATTGTAGATTGCACACAAAAAAAAAAAAAAAAAAAAATAAAAGGAAAGATGAAGATACTAGATGAGATTCTGACTTAGAGTGATCAGAAACGACCAAGTCAAGACCAAAAATATCTTTATACTTCATATAATGCTAATCAGTCCAGTCCACCATAACATTCCGCAATGAATCTCAACTTACCTTGGACCACAGCCAACTTAGGTCATCGGAATTCTATTTTGACCAAATTAAGAAACCGAATAGACCCCTTAAAATATATATATATATATATATATATCTTATTCAAGCTCTGAAGTTCTAACAACCTAGCCTTTTTTTTAAAATTAACCCAAACATTTGACCAATTTCGGCATGATAAAGCAAAATTAAGCTCAATTGTTATAGGGAAGATATGTAGTTTAAATAAATACCACGCTCTCCTCAAATTTATCATCTTTACAGGTTAGTGAGCCGAGTTATCCGCTTTGGCTAACTTTTATTGCGTTCTTGGTCATTTTGGGGGTAGATAACTGTGAGTCTTGCGAAGAAAAAGCCGGTAATTCAATGCACACAAGCACGAGTGTTATAAATTATCAACAACTGAATCAAGCAAAACAATTAGTCATGTAATTTCCTAATTTCCTAAAGAACCGAACAGGCCTCAACAAAGTTGATAGCCCCCAGCAAGTGAAAAGGAACAGATTGATTGCCAAAAATTGTGTGAACAAACAAGAGGAAAGGAACCTGTGGAAATTACGCCAAGGCACACATGAATCCTTCAGAGGAAGCTGAATACCCTGAAGCGAAAGAGGCACAACTGACCAACCTCGAAAATCTATCTATAAGAAATGCATAATGTCGAATAATCAAGAAAGAAAACTGCTAGACTAGAGAGAGAGAACAAGAAATAGGAAGTAAACAGAAGAACCCAGCTTATCGGCGAGGGATTCTTCGTTTGACAGGAAATGAAAATTTTCTTCCTTTGTAGCCGTGAAGTCTAAAAATTAATTTAAATTAGAGTGTAGTTTTGTT